GGAAATAAAACATGATATTTTGTAAACTTTGGTTACTGCCCCTGATATTTAAACGGGAGAGGGGGAAAAAAAAAGGATAATTCCAATGACTCCAGAAGATGTAGAGTGTAACAAAGTGAAGCACAAGTTCATTATGAGATAATTAAAAGCTATGGCACATAAGACTCCATATATAATAGCAACGAATCACTTCAAGCACCAACAACATCCTTGATCACCCAGCAAACACTGGTTCATCAGGCACTTTACTTGGCATCTATTCTAACACCAACTGGCATCACAGTTCCTCTTATACACCAAAAACCCTTCTTGTACACTAGGATCTTGCTAGACTAGGTATAGCAAACAAAAATTATGCCATGGCCGAAACATTAACATTAAAAAAAAAGATTAATGTTGAAAACAACAGCATCTATAATGATGTGTTACACAATTGAAAGAAAACAAAGACAAAGCAGTTGTTTGTTACAAGAGCAGTGGGCCACATACAAAAACATGTGACAAAGTACATGGACATTGCTCTATGAGAGATCAAAAGTCCACTGGTTGAAATAAAATATTTTATGTACATGAAATAATGGCACACTGACAATATTCAGCCCTACATCAAGTTTTGTACAATTTGACAACAAAGTATTCCGTAACGAGTGAACTTATTCAGACAGTGAACATGGTACAATGGACATTCAATATGGAGAATATAATACAATGACAACAATGTTGAGTCATTTGAATCAGACTTTAAATAATTTGATTATTACTTCATGGATAATACATGAATGACTGCCTTCAAGCTGTGTGAAGGAAATAGAAGAACAAGGTATATTATGGAAGCTTGAAATAGAAAGACAGGACAATAACAGAAGAACGCTTCAGCTAAGAGCCTTCCTCAGCAGACATGACAAATGAAGATAAGAGTCTTTTATTGATCCAAACAAATGGAAATGTTTTTTGAAGGCATTGTACATTTTTAGCACATAAATAAAACAATTTGAACAGGAGAAAACTACATTAAATTATTTCACTAGTGAAACACAACAACCCATTCTTAGCCATATCAGGGACTTATTAGGTCTCATTAAGACTTGTGACTTCAGGGGGAGCACGCTGGTAAATTCCTACAGATATAAGAAATAGAAAGTATTTTACAAAACTTAAGTGTTCGCCATATTCATGTTATAACTGTAAGTTGGGTTTACCAAATCTTAATTAGCTTTTCATTTCTTGTTATTTCTATACTTGTCCTGTCTGCTTAGGAAGGCTCTTAGCCGAAACAATCTTCCTCTATTTTCCTTTCTTTCTATTTCAAACTTCCACATACCTTGTTCTTCTATTTTATTACTTCAACCACTGTTCAGAATTCCGATTGGTCAATCATTCAACAGATGCACATTTGCACATCAATGGAAAACTAAATAAATGCTGATTGCAGGATTTTTAAGCCCACTTCCAGTATAGGCATTGAGTAACAAGGGGTTATTGTTGAAAATGAATCAATCTATGAGAGTGTATAATTATAGTTTGCTGTCATCCACTCAGGCTGTAGTAACAACTTTACCAATCACATCCAAAATAAAGACAGTCTTAATGTTATCATAGTTGAATCATTCTTCTATTGGCCAACTCAAGACTTGGAATTATCTTTACCCACCTAGACATGATGTAACAGAATATGGCACATACCATTGTTAAGTTGTTGAAAAAGCTCTGTTTCATGTGTAGGAACAGGTCAATAGTTTTTAGGATTATTCATTCATAAGTGGTTCTTACAGAAACTTTTAAAAAAAGCTGGAATTGTATTAAGTACCAAAAAAAATACATTTACCCCCCCCCCCCCCTTCAATGAATGTGACCAAACAATAAAAAAAAGCTTTGTTTCATGTGTAGGAAAAGGTCAATAGTTTTTAGGATTATTCATTTATAAGTGGTTCTTACAAAAATTTTAAAAAAAAGCTGGAATTGTATTAAGTACCAAAAAAAATACATTTCCCCCCCCCCCCCCTCTTCAATGAATGTGAGCAAACAATGAAAAGCCCATTGCTCACACTCTTAGGTCATTATTTAGCCAAACTCATGTTTGACTGACTCAGTAGAGCAGCTAATAGGCAGATGTACTTAAGAAGGGACAGTAGATTGTGCTCATACTAAATATGAGCTGTATTTAACTTAAAAACTAAAATTTAATTCTTTGAATAACGTTACTTGACTAGAAAAACAAAGATATGGAGTCCACGAAACAAACAACTGCCTTTATCACAAGGTTATGATGGAAATGCACTCAAGACAACAGAAAGCACATTAACACCATCTTGACACAGTGTACAACACTTACAAATCACACCAACACTTTCATATGTTGAGACATCATTGACCAAGACATTTTACCATACAATCAGATTTACACTACGGGTAATAGTTTCACCTCAACATACATTGTTCCTGTTTAAATTCTTCAATGGTTTGAATTGGCTAGAATATTGGTACAATAATACCTCAAACTCTCACGCGGTTAGGTTCCAGAATCCTGAATGTTTGGTACGAGTGACTAAAAATACTAATAAATGCTTATTTCTGAAGTTTAACCCTTAAATATGACCCAAATCATGCCCCCAAAGCACTTTAGTTCCATTTAAAGGTTAGCTTAACATATGACCCTTAAAAAAAAATGTTTGACATAAAAATAGAGTACATTATTGTCAATGGGTTATTTGCCAGACTAGCACATTTACAGTACAGTATATCAATGTTACCCTTACAGTATACTAATTCATGTGCTGCCGTTTTCTTTGGTACTCACAGTAAGTGCAAGGTAAAATGAAGAAACAAATGGGACTGTAAACCTAATGACTGAAGTTTCCATAGGAAAGCAAAGATTTTTTCCAAGTAATTTCTTATTAAATGATTTATTTTATATATTTCAATTTTCCACCAAAAAAAACCCCTAGAATTTTCATTAACAAAATTTTCTGAACTGGTTTTACACTTAAAAGCATGCAAACTTATAATAAAGTTATAAATTAAATTACTTTAAAAAATATACATGAACAGCTGCGCAGGGTTTTTCTAGGATTTTGCAAATTTCATAGATCTGTTAAAAAATAGCAATTGCGAATCAGTTAGGTCCTAATGAAAATTTCGTGGATCATTGTATTGGAGAATGCATGAAGTATTACTGTATAGTTTTACTCTGGTATAATTAACCAGGTTGGGAGAAGAATCAAGATACCAAAACAATCAACTGATGTGAGATCTCACTCAAGACTCTTTAGCCCAGGATTTATAGGTAAATTTAAACAGTGGTACAAAACATTCACTTGCTCCTTTAATTCCCAAAACGGGAATTAATGTATAAAATGAAATTTGTTCAAAATAAAATTTGGTTAACCCCAGATTTAAAAAAAAAAAAAATGTTTTCAAGTGTAGGTGCGACTGAAAAATGGGGGAAATTGCTAACTTATTATTTTTGTTGCTTTTTCCCCATTATTTCATTTCTAATAAACTTTTGTTCTAACAAACTTCCAGCTAACAATTTTCCTTCAAACAAATTTCTTTCCTATTATTTTCTGAAAACTCTCTACATAACATTGTACATTTAGTTGTGGGGGTCACATTACCCAATTTAAGGCCAATGAAAGAAACTGTGTAAGTGGTGCAAGGAATTGGCCTGCAATTATTATTTAATGGAAGATCATGTTACAAACTTTGAACTCAATACTTTTTAAAGGTAATTTTGCTCAGCAAATGTTGGTGCTTACTTGGTGAAAGAATCAGATTTGCTTAAGTTTTAAATTAATCACGGATGAGATTGAATTGAATTATTACCATAAGAAATAATCTATCTGAATCTAATGGCTTAACATCTCAAACTCTAAAAATACACCATCCAACAACATTGCTAATGCTAAGCAAACAAAGATTAGTTATATTAAGATGGGTCACTTCCGTAATTGAATACGCCTACGATTTAACTACATATCTACAGGCTGAGTCCATCTGTCACTTTTTTTTTGTATTGTCCTTTATGTTTTTCTCTACCCTGTGCATATTTCTTATGCTAAACCAGTCGTGTTGTATGAGAGGGGTAGCCAGTGTAAGGTAATCTAGGTTTCAAATATCTGGTAAGGAACAATTGGCATAAGAACCGACCTGTTTACTCTTACGATTTTTGAGTACAATGTACTATTTTGAGGTGTATACATCATATATACTGTATGTTTATTTTTTACGATTAAGATAATGCATTGAACGATTTTGTGATGCTATTGTACAATTTTAAGAGTTTGCGATCAAACAGGTCTGTAAGAACCTGTTGATTAATTGAAATAGACCCATTAAAGGACACCTCCATCACCTCATACTTTTTTTCTATTATCCATTCTTTCCTTGCTCTCCTATACCGCTACACTTTCTAAATACTGGTTGAACTTAAATATTTCTTCATTTTCTTATGCATGTTGTTAGTTAAGATCCTAGTTTAGGAACAACAAACAAACATTTTCAGTCATCTATGTCTTTCTGACACTACAACATAACCTCCTACTGCACACAAAATATTAAAAATCTAAAAATAAACTGAAATTTTCTGTAAACACAGTACAGGTGAGTCTTAACATAAAATTGTTGCTGTTATTTATTGTAAAGTAATTTTTTCTGTAGATCTGTAGCAAAATAATATAAATATATAAAACTAAACCCAACTGAATTAAACATGGTGTGGAGTCTCATCAAAGGCCTACAGGGTAGACACAGAAACATTTTTCTCCACTAACATTCATCTGGTTTTTTAACAGTGTTTTATAATGGGGATGTATACATGATATTTTACAAGAAACTTATGCATGATATTTTACAAAGAAATATATATAAATGATATCTATAAGTATATTAAGGGAAATTTTTTAAATGATATTTAAAGCTAACACACAAAAATTACACGTATAAAACAATACTTCAACATTTACAATGAAAAAAACAAAAAAAAAACAACAAATGAATGAATTGGGCTGTAAAATCAAAATCTTTCATATTGAAACTTCTATTCTATTTAATTAAAAAATCTCCAGAATCAAAGAAAAGATTGACTCTAAAAGTGGGAACTAGATGACAACTGCTGGATCCAATTACATACTTTGCTAGATGAAAAATACTGGTTTCATTATATCCTTTGCTAGATGACAACTGCTCGTTCCATTACATCCTTTGCTAGTTACAGCAGCTTTCAGAGCTACATCATATGCATGGTTAACTAAAATACATCCCAACAAGTTGAACACACACACACAGCTTGAATAGCTCTTTGACAAAAATATTGAATCACAAATAAAAGGATGAGAACACAAGTGTTGATTCTTATAAATCAGATACAATTCTAGCAGAATGTTCACGTTCAAAATTTGAACAACATTCATCATGGAATCAGTGGTTACTTTCAACCCATGAGTTGATAGTCTTCAAGATTTGCTTCTTTGAGGATCAAGTACTGGTAGGTTAGATTTCAAGTAAACTGAAAATGCACAGAGGCAATAATAGCTAGGATAATGTGTAACTTTCAGACTGGGACTAGTATCTGAAGTGAACACATGCACACTAACACACTGGTAGTTAAGATGATGTGTAACTGACCGACTGGGAAGCTTTCCCAGCCTGGCTACGGGTCAGTCTGTCCCATTTAAACTTATTGCCTGAATCCCCAGGTTTTTTAGACAATTCCCCCAATTTTGTGTCATCAATGTCCGAACCTTTAGACTTAGAGCCTGAATGATCCGTGCAGTTCTTCTCCTGTCCCATGGCTCCTTTTTCTTCTTGTTTCCTGCCGTCTTCACGAGATTTGAAAGAATTGTTGGAATCTTCAGAGAGTTGCCCTGAAGACTCACAATCCCGGAACGTTACTCCAGAATTTATGGAGGATGAGACAGAAAATGGCGACTGATCATTTCGGGAAGGGTTGCTTCCCTCTACCTTAGAAACTTTGCCGTCAGTCTCGTTGAGATCCTCAGAATTAACCCGTTTTCTGTGACGGCTGTATTTTTTATGTTTGTAAAACTTTTCAACATCCTCTAAGCCAGGTGAAGAGGCTCGTGAGCCTTCAACAGAATGGCTGTTTGATTCAACAGATAAACAACAATCAGAGGAGTTTGATTCAGTTTCATCTTTCATCAGTGGCTTCTGACCCTCTGAGCTGGAAGGTTTGGACAGTACAGCAGATTTGGAGCTGACATTACTTTCAAGGCATGACTTTTCCCTGGCAGCATCAGTCTCCCTCGTGCTGATGTCCTGGGAAGTTCCAACATTTTGAGTAAGACTTTCTGAAGGCTGAGTATCAACTTTGGCTTCATCATAACTGCTGTCTGGGCTGGCTGTGGTGACCACAGCGTCAGCAGGCAGCTTCTGCACTTCTAAACCTTTAGGTGTGTGAACAGTAAACATAATAGGTTCAGCTGTGGGAAACTGTCTGTGCCTTTTGGACATGGACACGGAGTGACCCGCAGGAGCTGCTGGAGACGGAACTGTTGGGGAATAATTTGGTCCATGTGGAAGTGGAGACCTGGTATGTGAGCGAGGTGGAAGTGGAGACCTGGCATGTGAGGCGGGTGAAGGGGTGATAGAGGTCCCAGAAAATGAACTTGAACGTTTAATGTTTCCACCGTCAGAGGATTCAAATTTCCGAGGATGATCATCAGAAGATCGCCTGGGGTTGTCTGGGGTATCCTTGTCACCATCAGCATGGTACACATGGCCGTGGGCCGCCTGCAGGTGTTCAGCCAGATAACTGGGAGATGAAAAGAACGTCCTGCAGATGCCACACTCACTGGCAGTGAAGTTGCTGTGAGTGTCCAAGTGTTCTTGGAGGAGGCCTGGTTCTGGAAACGATTTCTGACAATCATGACATGCAAACGGACCCGAACTTCTATGCAGGCTGTGCTGTCGGCAGTGCCTCTTGTAGGAACCGAAATCATTTAGCTGGAAAGTGTGTCCACACTCAGGACATTCCAAAAGTTTGTTCTCTTGTACATCTCTCTTAACAACATCCTGCTTCATGTCATCGTAGGCAAATGGGTTTCCTGCCGACTGGCTAGTGTGGGAGATATTGTGATCTCTTCTTTGGCCATGATACTGACCATCCTCGTAGACGTTGCCATCATCAAATGGAGACTGGGACAACATGACCTTATCCATTTGCTCCAATGCAGCAGAATGTGTCTGATGGTCCAGTGGACCTGTGTGGGCCATGGCTGTCTTGGTGGCAGAGATGGTCTGAACAATAGTGTGTTCTGCCTTAGGCTCAAAGCCGTGCTGATTTCTAAAATGTTTCCTAAACCCATACGGGCTTCCATAAGTTTGCCTGCACAGCCTACAGATGAGATATAAGATGTCACTGGGAGGGTGGCTCCCAATAATGTTCTGTATTGGCTCATGTTTGGAAACACCGAGTCTCTGAGAATCCTGATCATCTGGGGACTCACTGTTCTGTGGGCGGGCAGGCTGAATCATTGAGGGTGCCGTTCTGCTGTCCTGCTCTGAACCATGACTTGATGGTCTCTGATAGCTGGAGCCCACAGCAGGGTCAGAATGTTTGTGTGACACCCCATACTGGTGGGGTGTTGGAGGAGATTCAGGCCTGTGATGACCACCTGGAGAGAGACTGTGGTAGGTATGGTTAGGTGAGGCTGAGACAGTTCTCAGATGGGATGGTTGCTGTGATGCAGACGAAATGGGCAAGGATCCTTGGTACCCACCAACAGGGGACTGAGCTGGGTGCATGTTTGATGGTGCACCCCTGTGGTTTGGTGACTCTGGAGGTTGTAGCAATGGTGAAGAACGAGGGAGCCCAGAGTGACGATCTTGTGTACCTCCTCTTATATCTTGGTGCTGAGGTGATGGCAAAGGACTGAGTTTAAATCTGGCTTGTATGTGTGGTGAACTCTGCATGTGTGGGTGCGGTGAACTCTGCATGTGTGGATGCGGCGAACTCTGCATGAGTGGGTGGGGTGAACTCTGCATGTGTGGGTGCGGTGAACTCTGCATTTGTGGGTGAGGTGAACTCTGCATTTGTGGGTGCGGTGAACTCTGTGGGTGTGGGTGGGGTGAACTCTGCGGTAAGAACCTATCCACACTGTTTTCCAATCTCTGGAGATGGTGACCTGCTGGCCCTCTTTGGTCGTACTCCACATACTGGCCATGGACTTGGTTTCTAGGAGTGGAATGCTCAGGATGCATGGATCTGAAATAAATGTTAAAATCAAATCATTATCTAACAAAGAATTATGATCATGATGGTTTTAAAGAAATACATAGAACTAATTTTTTAATCAATCTAAGCCACCTTTCGCCATTAGTAAGCTTATTAATGGTTGTGTGAAGGGCTTAACTTACTGTGTACAATAGGATGTAATAAATGAGGTGATGTAAAATAAGAATTTTTCTTTACCCATATCCTAGATAGTGAATTCCTCACTATACATAACTCCATCCTACTTTAACTATATAACTCCGTCCTACAGTTTAACATGTTTTAGGATTTGACAAATGAATTCACCTAACATTAGGCAATGTGATAAATGATTTCAACAAATGTATCGAAGGATTTGACGAAGGTATCGAAGGATTTGACAAATGAATTCAGAATTAAGACAATTTGAGAAATGAATTCAACGAATATATTAAACGATTTGACAAAGTGTTGTGTCATAAAATTTCTTTTTTTTAACAAGCTCTCCCCTAATCAACAAAACAGACTTGCTGCATTGTGCTTCAGTTTCTATTTAAATGTTATTTCATGATAACTGCCTTTCTTAAAAAATATGTAGGAAATAATAATTAAGAATTTTCTCACTAGTGTGTCAACAACAATTAAAAACTACATTTATTTTTCATTTGTATTTTTTTTAAAAAGATGTTTATTACAATTTGCAATTATCTAAAACATAAGTTTGTATCTGATTCAAGAATGAATAATACAAATTGATGCCTATCTCTGTTCTTTCACTCTTGCCAAAACAACTGTTTCTTACTAGGCCACTGGCAAAACTCACCAATTCCAAAACTCTGGCCTCCTACAAAGAATTATATTGTTTGATTTATGTTATTTAAAAGTCAAACTACAGCTTATGAATTGTCAAATATTCTCAATTTTTTTTTTTTTTAACAAATTTTTTTTTTAATGCCCTTCTGACTGAGATCATTTTACATCTTGACACTGCCTTCAAAGCCAAGCCACTTGAATGTTTACTTATCATTTGGTTGCTGTATGCAATGATTATGTTGGTTGTTTTTTTTACCTTAGCCTGTGTTTTTCTCAACTATCTGATAAAACACTATCCAGCCTTAGGACATTAACAGTTTGCACATGCTTGATTAAGGTTAGGGTTTGCATGTGCTTGTTTAGGGTTAGGGTAACATTAGATGATCTTTCAAAATTTTTACAGACATACAATAAGATAGGTGTTGTATGTGGACAAATTCTTCACACAAAATAATTGCACACAAAGGACACATACTTAAGATTTGTTCTTCAACCAATTTATCATAAGGTTAAGTATTAAGCATATTAAATTTTTGTTCATAATTTCTAAACTGTCCCAACTGTTCCCAATTAGTCATAGCAATTTTCTGACCCACAATTCTTCACACAAAATAATTGCACACATAGGACACATACTTAAGATTTGTTCTTCAACCAATTTATCATAAGGTTAAGTATTAAGCATATTAATTTTTTGTTCATAATTTCTAAACTGTCCCAACTGTTCCCAATTAGTCATAGCAATTTTCTGAACCACCTGTAGGGCTCTGTAAACAAGTCATGTCTTGGATGCTGCTCAGTGGTGCTGTCATTGGTCTTTCTTCTGGTGTCTCTACTGTGTGCAGGGGTAGGTTTGACTGACAGGTCAAGGGGCTGTTCCCCCTCTGACTGACCAGCACTCTCAGCAGGAATGTGGATGATGGGTGGGTGGTGCGGGACAACCAACTTTGCAGTGTCCAGTGCTAATGGCTGTGAGGGAGCTTTAGCTCTTGGAGGTGCAGGGAGTCGTCTAGAATCCACAATCTCATAGGGAACAATGTCGGCCATGTGAGGGTGTCTGGACGCATGTCGGTCTGCTTCCACATATCTTGAATCAACTGGAAGAGGTTTTGCCACTATATTTTGACTTGGGTACACAGGATAATGTCCTGGTGATGGATTTCTACTTTTATGTTCATAGTAACGTCCCGGAACATCTCTCTGGGACTGACTACCAGGCTGGACGTCATGTTGTCTATGAGCTGCTACATAACTCGGCATTATGGCCTGGGGAGGAAGACTTTGACCTGATACTGCTACAACAGGTCTCAGGGATTCCCCATTGGGTGGCACCTGGTGTGGGTAGTAGTCTTTGGAGTTACGTCTGGAGGATGGTGTTTGATAGGGATGGTAATGTGATGGGTGGGGATGTGGACTCTGCTCATTCCCCCTGTCTTGTTTGGTGCCTGGATGTCGCAAATGATGAGGTTGAGGAGGAGGTTGTGATGGTGATTTTTCATGAGAAAAGTGACTGACGCAGCTGTGACACAGGCAGGACTTGGTGGGAATGTGTGGGACAAGCCTGGTGTTGCCAGGGGCCACATTATCACCGATGTGGTCTGCAAGGATCAATGGTGGGGGTGCTTTAGTGCCCACAGTGTGTACTGGTCTGTGTTGTTGTGGTAGATGAGATGCCCCCCTGGAGTGGAATGGGTCTTGATAGACTGTCGACGAGGAGGTTGACAGTGACACTGAAGATGTGGCTGTCGGGGACTGACCACTGGGTTGCTGCCTCTGTTGACCCGGGTGGTGCCTCTGTTGATACATGGCTGGTGATTGAGGGGTAGACGGCTTTGATACCATAAGTGCTGTAAGACCAGGTATGTTATAGGGGTGTGGCCCATGAGGAGCATAGTCTAAGGGTGGGGGACCAGCAGAGCGTTGATGCAATGCTGATCTATCCTGATGATTTGGCATCTGATGAGATCCTGGGGGGATCTGGTGCGATCCTGGAGATCCCTGGTGGGATCCTGGAAGTCCCTGGTGGGATCCTAGAGATCCCTGGTGGGACACAGAAGGAACCTGATGCGACCCAGGAGGCATTTGAGTATTTCTAAATTCTCTTGACCTCTGATCGTGATATCCCGGTTTTATATCCTTGGCTGAATCAGATATGACCCAAGAACTGTTCATAGGACTTCCAAGCCTCGGTCTGCCCCTTTTCCTGCCAATATTATTAGCAATGGACAAATGTTCCTTATGCACTGTGTGTCTCTGTGCCTCTAGCAAAGCTTTGCTGCTGGCTGAAATGTTTTGGTACTTCATGGGTGGATTGGGCAGAGCTGCTGCTGCACTCTGGACATCGGCCTGCTTACTGCACTCGGTTGTTGGTGTCAGGAGTTTGCTGATCACCTCAGTCTGGCTTATAACCCTGTCCACAATGTCCTGAACACTGATGGTCCCATCCACCCCAGACTTTGCAAGATCTCGTTTGGCATTTTGTCTTTCAGAGTCTGTGGCGATGAGGGGAGGGCTCTTTACTTCATCCGGGTTATCTCCTCTTTTTATGGCTTCTTTTCGCTCCTCCTCCTCATAGGATAGAAAGCTCTCCAGCAAGACTTTCTCGATGTGATCTTTGAAACACAGGGTACTCCTAGCTGGTTGAACACTTTCACTTTTGTCTTTAATGATGGAGCTCTCCTGTTCTGAGGTCACAGTCCCAATACTGGAAATATTGTCTTTCTGGACTGCTTCTTTAGAAGATTCTTTTATAGACTTAAGAAGTTCTCTAGAATCACTCTTATCCATTTCCTGTGTCACATGACTGACTTCCTCCTGCTTTAACTTATTCAAATATGGAGAAGATACAAGCTCCTGGTTGTTGAGAGAATTGTCCAAAACTTTATCTATCAAAGTCTGCAGTTTTACAGGGCCGGCAGGTAAGCTAGAAGCACTCGGCCCCACAACTGAGACGTCGGGCACAGGCTTTTTGGCCATTTCCCACATTATTATCTGGCCGTGTGATTGAATTTCTTTGTTGAGCGCAAACTGAGTCAGCTCCTCATTCTTATCAAGGCCTACCTTTTTGATGTGGTCCTGTAAGAAAGCTGAGAAGGTGGTCTTTTTCTCACTGGAAGTGGGAGACAGGATTTGTTTGTTGGTTTCAGGAACAACGCCTGGAGAATTAGCTTTCAACCTATCCTTGTTGTCCTGAATCGGGTCACCAGCATTTTCAGTGACATCTCTGTTTTCCTGTTTGACCACATGTTTGAGCACTGTTGTATAATCTTTCCTATCTGATTGTTCCTCCTCTGCTTCTAAATCTACAGTAGACTTGTCCTCACAGTCAATAACCAGCTCCTTCTCCTCTGTGTCATCGTTATCATTACCATTATCCTGCACATCTGTGCTCTCTGAACTTATGCTCTCTGTACGACTGCCAGCACTGGCTTTGGATGTGTCTGAAGTACGGGAATTTTGAGAGTCCTCGTTCATCTTTCTCTCTCCATTGATCATGTCATTGTCACCTTGGCCACCTTCTCCATAACGTTTATCACTTGGGGAGTAGCCATTGCTGGATGATAAGCAGTTCTCTATAAAAGAATCAATGGCTGCCCTTATAGACATCCGACTGACGTCGTTCTCAGATTTGCTTGATGTTTTGTTGGCATTTTCTCCCGCGGTAAGGCTAGCTGTTTCCGGTTTGGTGGGGTAGGTGGCAGCAGGAGTTCTCCAAGCTGGGTTTTGGTGAGTTCTACCAATGTCGCCATTGTCAACTTTACTTTGGGTCTCAGAGTTAAGAGGGGACTGGTAAAGTCCTTGACCTTCAGCTGCAGCTGCTGAAATTTGCTGGCCCATAGTTCAGCTACCGATCTGGAGACAAAAATAAGTAAATTTGAGAATATATATTAATATAACACTTTAAGAATATCTATTATTATAAAACTTTAAGAATATCTATTAATATAACACTTTAAGAATATCTGTTAATATAAAAATTTAAGAACATATATTAATATAACACTTTAAGAATATCTATTACTATAACACTTTAAGAATATCTATTAATATAACACTTTAAAAATATCTATTAATATAACAATTGAACAGCCTAGCGTACATAAAACATAAAATTTACAAATTTCATTGAATATATTCATTCAGTAGAGTTATAACGAGATAGCATATTTCTTCAATGTACTAAATTAAAATGTATCACATCCTTGTTTAAGACTAACATAAGATAACACTGGAAAGACAGCACCAATACATCCATTGTTTTAAATTTCCCCTGTGAATATCTATTAGTATTTTTCAAGGGAAATAAAGCCCTCAAGATGCCCATATTTTAAAGTCATGTCTTTAAGATTACCCCCCTTCAACCACACCCCTCACCCAACTCCCCCACCTGACAAATACAGACAAGAGTACTAAGGAGCAGACGACATGAAATATGGATCATTCACCAAAGTAACCATGTTTTATTTCAGAGGTGTACTTTAGAAAGTCAAACATCACAGTTAGGAATTGCGGAGAGAAATGAGGCAAAGAAAACAAAGTGTTTTTTTTTTTTTTAAAGAAGTTGAAAGGGGGTATGGAGGTTGGGTGGAGGGAGCTTAAGGTGAAGGACGACAAGTAGAAAAATCGAGGACAACATAAAGACAATGACATGAAGAAAGGGATGGGGCGAGGCTTGGGGGACAACTGGGGACAGGGGAGGAAATCAATCTTTGAAGGTTAAGGACACGAGAAGAACAATAAACTAACAGAATAAAGAGTACAGATGTTCGGTGGTTGGTGGGGGGGGGGGTTAAGGTGGCGGTATTGTAGGTGCTATATACCCACCTCACCCCACCCACCTCCCTTCCTGATTGGATGTTGTTGAGTTGTGTGACAATCTTTGAAGGTTAAGGACACGAGAAGAACAATAAACTAACAGAATAAAGAGTACAGATGTTCGGTGGTTGGTGGGGGGGGGGGGTTAAGGTGGCGGTATTGTAGGTGCTATATACCCACCTCACCCCACCCACCTCCCTTCCTGATTGGATGTTGTTGAGTTGTGTGAGCCCAGGGCACGCCATCATTGATTCTAGTTAGTGAGCCGTAATCATGTTGTCGAGCATTCGATTAGAACCTCGTGTGTTGTTGGGACATGACTCAACCACAGATGAACACACCGAGGTACCTTTGTACCTGCCATGGACACGTGTCAGTGCTTGCTAGGTACATATTTAGGGGCGTGCTATTGTACTGCCGGCTAAAGAGGCTATGGTTATGGATGGTTGGCGTCTTATTTAAACATTTCTATACACTCAGAAAGGTTTAGTCTGAAAGAGGTTGTTTTGTTATTTTAAGTTAACCCTATGTTATCAGAGAAATGAAATTCTTTCCATCACATTTATCTTACAGTGTATTCCCCACTTGAATGGTGCCGGGCTCTCAAATTATTAACAATTCTTTTCGACAAAAAGGATTTATAAAGAGATTTATAAGGGAAATAAAAACATAAATTTAATGGGAAGCTATTGAAAAGTGTTGCTTCCCTTAATGGTTTCGCATCTGACAAGCTTAATACACATTTGATAGAGGGAATGTTATTTATAATAGGTGACGCATTAACTTCAACCAACCTGTTTAACATAATTCTATTTCCTGCTGAGGAAAAACTGACAGTTATAACAGAAGATGGTGCTTATTTGAGACGTTGTATCAAGACATGATTATAAATAATTTTTACCAGGACTTTATGGTACCACAATACAGAACTTGTAACAGGCGTTTGATATAAAATACATACATTTGGGGTAGGGTGGTACAAGTTTGGGACCGACAATTCTCTGAAAGGCTTTCCTTGTTCATGTATTAGGACACAAACCTAATGTATAACAAGGCACGAAGCTTAAAGTATAAATAAGACACGAAGCTATCAAAGATTTCATATTTTTTGGAGAACGTTTCCACGTGCATTTAGTTGTTTATCGTAGCTGATTGATGAAAAGGGGGACATGCAGGTATCAAGCCCACCGTCATGGATACCCCCTCCCCCGCCCACACTAAAACCTACAATCTATAAATCATAATGATAATGTTCTTGCGTACCAGTCATCATCATTATGTGTGTGCAATGGTTCTTTCAGGCATCTCACCGGAGGAATTCAAGTGCTCCCCCCACCCCCACACTAAGGAAAATGAGCATCACGATAACGGTAAAACTATATATGTATATATAAATATATTTATTTATTTAATTTTTTTTTAAAATTTAGAAACATTTAAAAAAACAACTAAATTTTTTTTATTAAAAATACATTTGAAAAAGAGTACTGTAGGCATACCTAAATGTTGACCATTAAAATTAGTAAAATATTTCAAGCAAAAAAAAAAAAAAAAAAAAAAAAAAAAAAAAAAAAAAAAAAAAAAAAAAAAGGCGAAAGACAAAAACGAGGCGGTCTATCTATTTGATGATCGGTACATTTAAGTCAAATCTAGACCTAACAGTCCATTACAAATACCTGAAATCTTTTTGATTAAACCTACTTTCCTAACGATATAAATAACTATAATGCTAATATTTTGAAATAGTTCTTGCTAAAAAATGTATTTCCATATCTTGAAAATGAATATGTGCAATGTAATTAAAACACATTTCCATTTATTTGAATAAATAAAGGAATTGTATCTTATCTCAATTGTCAACATTGACAGTCTGTTTAGATATTTATATTTCTTAATAAAAATGCAATCAACTTTTATGATAGGCTGGGCTATAAATATCCCCCTTTCTGTCAAAAAAAAATTATAATTTCTTTAAAAGTAGTCGATTCCATGAATGTTGAGCAAGATAAAGAAAGAAAAATTTAAAATTTAAAAAAACAAAACCATTTAGAACAAATACGGCTTTATCGTGCGCATATTATTATTTTTTTCTCTATAATAAGCTAAGAGCATTTGTATCTGTTTGAAATGGTTTTGTTGTCAAAGGCATTTTGGCCGACACGTCTTCTTTCCGTTATTCCTTCTTCAAGGTTTCCCTTTAGCCTTGATACATTTCTTATTGCACACTAGAGGCGCACGCCTCCACCCATTATTTGAACATCCAAACCGTTTGTATTTGATTGACACGTGTTTCTTTTGGGACACAGCTCATCAACTGGATAACGAAAATAGAATGCACATAGAGGCTAAGAGTAATTTCT